TGCTGAACCAGGGCTATCTCCGGCGCCAGGAGGAGAGGCCTCACGTCTTGGAGTACGTCTTTGCTGAATCCACAACACCTCTTGGGGGCCAGGCACAGATGGTTTTCCAGAGCAGGCTACCAGAGGCATCTCCAGACGAGGACAGCGTAGACTGCCCATATTGGTAGGGATGCATATTACCAGGTGTGGAGGGGTGTGCATCTCCACCCTGTATAGATGTGACACATTTCTCTATGTCAGGTTGAATCCTGGCGTAGGCAGGTCGGAGGACTTTCTCATGGCAATGCTGCAGGTGCCAATGGGGCACACACTTAGTCCAGACAGGTCCAGGATACTCTGAGCATCCCGGATGATGTTGCTCGGCACCTCCTCATGCACTGCAGGTGGAATGTGGATTTCCTGATCCAGTGCTATGTGGAGAACCATGAGACCCTGCTCATCTCCTCGGGGCTGCAAGTGCAGGATGCCCAGCCCCCCCCAAGCCCAGGAACACACTGCCCAGTCTGTGTGAACCAGCTGTGTCCCACTGAGAAGCCACCAACTCTCTGCTGCATGCACTACTGCTGCAAGGTGAAGGTCCTGGGGTCTTTGGCTCCTGTAACTTGGTAGGGAATTGCTGCCGCCTAGTTGGTGGTGGTTGGTTGGCTTTGTCTGAAGGTGTTATCAGGTGATTTTCACAGAGCTCATACATTCTCTTAGCTCCCTTGTCGCTTGTGATCCTTCAGCTCCTGATTAGTCCATTCCCATTTTTGTGGAACTTTTGAGCACTTATCCATGGTTTGTGGTGGTTTTGTGCACCCTGTGCTGGGTGGGTGGGTTTCCAGGGTCACATGGACCAGGTGGTGCAGGTCCTGTTTTGCGCTGATCTCTCCTCTTCTGCCTTCACAGCTCTGTTGGCGTGAGTATCTCACAACTCGCATTGAGCAGAACATGGTTGTCAACTGCACCTGTCCCATATCTGAGTGCCGTGCACAGCCAACTACAGCCTTCATTCGTTCCATCGTTTCCTCTGAGGAGATTATAGCTAAGGTGAAGTAGGGGAGGTTGTTACTGGGTGTCCAAGCTCTGTTTCATTTTGGTCAGCACGAGCAGAGAATCTTGCTGCTGCTTTTCCCTTTCCCATTACTAAGACTGGCAGTGTGATAATCGAGGCAGACCAGGTTTCTGCCCAGTGGTGTCTGTTGTCTCTGATCATGGCCAATACCAGCTATTCAGGAAAGCGTAACATCAGCAAAAAAGCACAGTGGTATTTCCTCTAAAAATGTCTCCAGCAAACAACATTTCAGGTGCGTCCTTAGTTGAGAACCGGCTGAGAGCAACTCATGACAAATATCCTCTGCTGGAGTACTGGAAGCAATTGTAAAATCTAGGACAAATGAAGAGAAAACATTTGAGCAATTTCAATTTAGCGCTGCATCAGTGATCCAAACATCTGCTTCTGCTTCCATCAGTCTCTAGCTTTGAGCACTTCAGGATTTTGTGAAGATGGCAGAAGTTACCCATCAGACTTAATCTTCACTCTAAGCCTGTGTGGGTCTATGAACACCTCTAAACCAGGCTTCGTTAGCTCTGCTCGCCTTAGTCCTCAGTCAGCAGGGGGCAGTGGGAGCTGCTTGTTCTGAGGCAGAAGCTACTTTTTCTCCTTGTTTCAGTTTCTAGTTACTACTTAGGGCTTAATGCCCTCCCCTCCCAATGGCAGAGCTGTGGCTGTCGCATGACACACTCTTTTTGTTAATTGCTGGACAGAACAGGTGTCTAATCTGTTTTCCACTGCTTTGTTGTTTGACAGGTCTCCACCAGCAATTGCTTTTTCAAAATATATTCTCCTCCTCTTCCAGCATGTTATTATCATTATGATCCTGTGTGAACAGTCGTAAGGACAAATTAACAGTAGTCATAAAGACTGCTCTGTGTTTTAATTTTGCTTTAAGCTTGCAAACTGGCAACCAAAATGGGCAAGGCTACAGAAAAGCATTTCCTTTGATGTATCTTTTGCATCTTGTTTTCTATAAGAAGTACTTGGAGAATTAGTGCACGTATTTGGGCAGTTAGTTCTTACTGGCTTTCCAAATCCTCTAGTCACACCTGCGAGAGCAGGACAATATCCTGTTGCTATGGTTGTTTTATTACGAAAAAAAATATTGCAGGTCAACATAAATTGCAGCCAATTGTATCAAGTTGCTTTGATGCTCTCACAGAGAGCGTCAAACAGGTAACAATGTTATCTGTTTCCTTTTTAGCTCAGTAAGTGGTATGGCTGGAGCGTGAATGCCTCATGCAGAGACACACATGCAGTCATAGAATAATTTAGGTTGCAATAATCTGTGCAGACCTCTGGTCCAACCCTGTGCTCAGAATAGATTATTGTGTGAAGATCTAATGCTGACGTTACAACGTACTGCTCCAGGTTCAATCTTCTCTGCATCTTACATTTAGGTAGCTCTATGCAGTGGTAAGATCCCACTCTGCTGCCTTCTCCCTGTGCTGAACAAACCCAGCTCTGTCAACCTCCCCTTATGCATTCTGTGCTCCAGGCCCTGACTGTCTTGGTGGCCTGTGGACGACATTTTGTCTAGTCTGTTAATGTCTTTGTTGTACTTAGGAGCCCAGACTGTTCCCATTATTCATTTGTGTCACTAGTGCCGAACAGCTGTGAGAAACCCCTTCCCTTGCCTGCTGGCTGCACTCTTGCTAATACAAGAATATTTGAGTTAAACTTTTCATGCTTGTATTTCTACAAAATGTAAACCCTGTCGTGTTTCTGAAAGAGATTTTCTCTCAACCTTGTTTCCCTCAAGTTCCTTGAGAGACTGTTCTTAAGAGATGGTCTTCCATTCTGCCCCCAGGAATTCTCAAGCATTGGCTTAGTGTGTGCGGGGAGATGTTATCTATCTCAGCTCTAGTAAGGCTTTCTACACCATCATCCACAACATCCTCACAGAAAAAAAATGAAGTACAAGCTGGATGAGTGGACTGTGAGATGGCCTAGTGAGCTCAAAGGGTTATGATCAATGGCAGAAAGCTCAGCTGGAGGCCTGTCACTAGTGGTGTAACCCAGAGGCTGATACTAAGGTTAACATTGTTTAACATCTTCATTAAAGACCTGGATGATAGCACCAAGTGTACCCTCAGCATGTTTATAGATCATAAACAGCTGGGAGGACTGATTGGTGCTCCAGAGTGTTGTGCTGCCTATCAGAGGGACCTTGACAGACTAGAGAACTTAGCAAACTTCATTATCATATCGTTAAGTTCAACAAAAAGAAATGCCAAGTTCTGCACCTGGGGTGGAATAACCCAATGCAACAGTGTGTGCCAGGGGCCAACCATCTGGAAAGCAAGCCTGCAGAAAAAAAAAAAGGGATCGTGGTGGACAACAAGTTGAACGTAAGCCACCAGGGTGCCCCTATGGCTAAGAAGATTCCACTAACATTGTAGGTTTAATTAGGAAGAGTATTGACAGCAGGTTGAGGAAGGTGATCCTTCCCCTCTACCCAGTGCTGGTGAGATCGCATCTGGAGTACTATGTCCATTTCTGGGCTCACCAGTACAAGAAAGACCTGGGCGTACTGGGGAGAATCCAGCAAAAGGCCACAAAGATGATTTAAGTTTTGGAACGCCTGTAGGAGAAGCTGAGAGCACTGGGTTTGTTTAGCCTGGAGAAGAGAAGGCTCAGGGATGGACCTTTTCAACATGTGTAAATACACAGATGGGATCAAGGAGCCATATTCTTCTTGGTGATGTTCAGTGGAAAGATAAGAGGCAGTGAGCACTAATTTAAACACAAGAAATTCCATTTGAACATCATAAAACTTTTTTATTTTGAACAGTAAGGGTAATGGGACATTGGAACAGGTTGGGCAGAGAGGCTTGTAGTCTCTGTCCTTGGGTATGCTCAAAACCCAACTGGACATGGTCCTGAGCAGCCCTGCTTTGAGTTTGAGGGATTGGATTAGTTTTTATCTCCAGAAGTACCTTCCAACCTCAGCTATTCTCTGAGTTTGTGAAACAGCCTCCAGATATGACATGAGGGGTGGAGAATTTACACAAAGGGAGTGAATGAGTGAACTAACTTAATGCTGTTTTGTTGTGAGCAGTTGTGCTGTCAGATGTAGAGCCCAGAGGCACCAGACCCCAGTTGTAAGGCCTAATAACCATGCGGCTTCTCTGCCTTAAATCTCCTTTCTGGCTTGTTATTACAGTATGAAAAAGCCCTCCTCAGAGGCTATGTTGAGTGTTGCTCCAACCTGACATGGTGCACCAACCCTCAGGGCTGCGATCAGATCCTCCTTAAGGATGGACTTGGTTATGGGGTAGCCTGTTCCAAGTGCTCCTGGATATCCTGCTTCAACTGCAACTTCCCAGAGGTAAGGCTGAGCTGAATCCCGGGCAATACTGTCTTGGATTTGGCACACACTATTCTGGTTTTGTGTGGTCGACTGCCTCTCTCTTTCAGGCCCACTATCCTGCCAGCTGCAGCCACATGTCTCAGTGGGTGGATGACGATGGGTACTATGAGGGGATGACAAGTGAAGCCCAGAGCAAACATCTGGCTAAGCTCATTTCGAAGCACTGCCCAAGCTGCCAGGCTCAGATAGAGAAGAATGAGGGGTGCCTGCAGTGAGTATCCATTTTTGTTTACTGCTGAAGACAGGAGAGACATACAGTTAGGTCCATTGTGCTTTTGGTTTTTGGTTTTTTTTTTTGCTGTGGAGTAAGAGTTATAGCAGGTCTGTTTTAGAGGACTGAGTGACTGCTTTTGATTCCTAGAAAACCCAAATGTTCCCTAGCATTCCAACTTAAATCACAGAATCACAGAATGGTAGGGGTTGGAAGGGACCTCTGTGGGTCATCTAGTCCAACCCTGCTGCCGAAGCAGGGTCACCTACAGCAGGCTGCACAGG